ACCCGCGAGTAGCTACGCGCAGGGAAAACTTTAAGCGCAGTTTGCATACTGGTAAGGTGTTTAAATGAAAGACACTTGAATAGTTTGAATTTCAAGGTCTCAAAGACAGTCGTGAAATTATTTGTCCGTTAAGATTCCAGTGGTTTTGGCTCCCAGTCCACAGTCTTGACAGTCATTCCTATTATTCATACGTAGTATGTTAAAATTACAAGACGAATACGACAAATGATTACGAACAGTTGAAATTTCGAAAAAAGTACTGGTGGTTCAGTCCCCCTGACAAATCTTTCCGCGCTGTTTTTCAAACACTAGCCAAATGCTTCAATGTGTGGAAGCGTAACAAGAAAGAACGATGAGGGGGGCAGGGGGGTGGTAAATGGGGTTTGCACGCCCTAAAACGTGTTTCATGCCGTCCGTTTGATATATCTAAAAGAATAAAAGTATTACTGAAATAAATATAAACCCCTTAAGCCTCAATTAGCCAAATGCAGTAATTTAGCGGTAGATTAGCTGGGACGGGATACTGGGGTCCGCTATCAGTCAAAAGGTTAACACATACGCCTATTTGGTCAGGTAATAATATTGAGACTCATATCAGTCCAAACCATCTTTTTGACAAAATTTTGCGCGTATCTAGATGTAGCTAGTGAGGTACTTCAGAAATATGAACTGCTCAGGCAACTAGTTGTACTGTACTGACATTTGCAATGTTAGCGCATTAGCATTCAGTCTACCCCATTGTGACCTCCATGCCTATCGTTCGCGCAATGTCCTCAAGGGTTACTCTGGCCCTTTAAAGTTACCACTGAATTGATGAATAATGAAACTGCATTTGGAGTGACCGAGGCGCACTTAAAAATGCAGAAATTGATTTGTTTACAGCCTTAGAAAAAAAAATTATCAACTCACGCCTCTATGAGATACGTATAGTGATATTTGGTTTTAACAACCTGTTATATTGGGCTTATAGTTGTCGAATGAGGATGCCAAGAAAGGGTTATGGCCAATTGGAGAAAATATATATGTATGAAAGAAGGCAGAAAATAAAATGGTATCACTTCCATCCTCAAACGTAAATGCTATCACGAATAGATTGCTTCTTTGCAGTGTAAGCTGTAAGTTGTTAAACTGACGTCTAAGAATGAAAATAAGGTTTCTTCCGATTTTTTAACTAGCCCTGACTGTCTGTGAATACGTTCTTATCGTATACCTTCGAGGTATTTTGCATGGAGTAGATAGACCCCAGTCGTAATCGTTTGATCTTTAGCAAATCGGGAAATCATGGTGAACAATTTCATTTGTAATGCGCTGCACAAAGCACAATCCTCTGACAATGGGCTGATGTCTACACGTGTAGTGTGGATAGTGAGTGGATCGACTAGGGATGACCACTGGGATGTTGGGTTACTTAACGGAAGATGATATACAGAATCAATTTTTTACAAGTCAGTCAGTAAGCAATCCACAATGCACGGCTCATTGTTGTAGCATATTTGAACCAAGTGAAGAAAGTATTGGTTGATTTTGGACCTTCCTGGCATTCGTTTGTGCATATGAGCGGAACCCATTTGCTTAGATTCCATCACTTTCCCTTCGCAGTTGATTTAGATCCCAACGAATTGTTTCAAAGCCACACACTAAACATTGATGTAGGTTGTTCTCGATGGGTCAGTCTGTAATTAGGTCCCTCGACATTGATGCTCAATTCTACATTGTCAAGAAATAGAACTCAAAGCATATCTGGCAAATCGACTGGACCGGATATCCACTACAGATGGTTAGGCGAAAATTTAGGAAGTGGATCAAATTAACGTGGATAGGCCATTCCGGAAAACGCCTGATCATTGCACGGCATCCGCACAGGTAACGCTGTTCAAGCTACAGAGAAAGGTTAAATTCGAAAATCCCCCTGTCATCAACTTTATTTTGGTTAACAGAGCAGGTATCGTCAACTGTGCAAGACCATTTTCACCAACGAGAGCTGTGCGTTGCTCGTTGGGATGACAAGCCGTTATGATCCTAAAACTGTCGTGCGTTTCATTTGATGACTTTTAGTGCAACCAAAATAAACGGTGTTTTCCATACATGACCAGAAGTCAAAGTGTGTAACTAAATGAATG